ACATTTTTATATTAATATAATAAATATATTATGTTTTTATATTACATAATTTTATAGTTAAATAGTTTTGGAAGTCCTTTACATCAAGAAATTTGAAAATCCTAAAGCAAAACCAGTTGAGAACCACACTGCACATTGCATTATGTAAAAGTCAAGAAATTAATTTTCACGATCCCAGACCAACAACTAGTATTATTATTACTATCAGAAAAGCAGACAAACTGTCTTTTACTCTTGATTGACCATCCAGATCATTTTTGTACACATTAGACAGTACTGAAAACTGGTGAAGCGTTTCAGTTGTTGTTTCTCAGATAATTCAGTAGCTTGCATCACCTGTTCCAGACTCTCTTTTTTCTCGTTTCTTGTTGGCACTCTCATTTCTGGGGCTCATCTGGCAGCTGCAGGCGGAGGCGGGGTGGTGGGTGTCAGAGAGGGGAGGGGGATGCCGGGTGGAAATATGAACACAACTCTGCGTTCTGCTACTAATCTTGTGCCTTAGAATGCCACCCGTCTGGAGTTCATTTTGACCCTCATGTTGGTACATGACGATAATTACTGCGCATACACCGAATCTGAGCACTGATTATCTGCATCATAGCACAAGCACAAATGTTTACACCTTTACATGGGATTTTGCATTGCAAAGTAGTGCCCGACCACCATGGTTTTTTTTTTAATACTCATATATTAGCCACCTTGCTTTTTAGGTATAATATACTTAGATAAGATGAACAAAAACTTGATTTAATGAAGATTATTTTACATATTTTATGCATATATAAGTGCAAGGTTTTCTATATTGTTATACATTTACAAATATTTATTTTTTTATTTTTGAAATAAATATGAAGCTAGAACATTGAAATTATGCATTATCCAAATACATAGCTGTTCTCATTCTGTTAATTGTTTAATGAAGCTTAAAATTTTCCGGTATACTACACATCTCACATATTTCCTTCTTTTATGCACCAGCCAGGCAGCTACCATTGAGATGAATGGGGATGCTAACAGATAGCTTTCTTTAGCTATTAGATCTCCGTGGAAATAATTAGCCTTAATTTCTCATCTGCTGTAATGTGAAACTCATTATTTATGATAATTATTTGTGGTTGTTTCACACTGCGCTGAACACAACAGCGCTCTCTCCCTCCCCAGCTCTGAGAATAACTCCTTCATGAACTCTCTGAGTATATGATCCCTCTCAGCTTCCTAATATCCCATGTGTTCTCAGAACTCCAGAGTGGGCGTATGGGATCTGCGGAGAGAAGCAGAGGCAGAAAGTGAGAATTAGATGAGATCTAAATATGTCCTTCTTTAACCTTGACTGTCCCTCTGTAGGTAGGGCTTTAATGAAATGAATCAGTGCTGTTGGGGTTGCAAGTAATAGCATTTCAACCACAGCAGCAATTTCATTCTAGAATTTGATTCGAGTGTAAATATACACACACTGCTGGTCTAAAGTTGGGGGTTGGTAAAAAATGCTTAAAATGCTAAGAAGTCTCATTTATCACAATTTAAAAATTCTGTTTTATTTTAATATGATTCTTAGAAATCATTCTAATATGCTGATTTGGTATTCAGGTAACATTTTTTATTATTATCAATGTTGTGCTGCTTAATATTTTTGTGGAAACCATGATACTTTTTTTAGGATGCTTTGATGAATATAAAGTTGGAAAGAATAGCATTTATTTGAAATCGTTTTGATTAATCCATGCGAAATAAATGTACTATTTTTTCTTAAAAATAATAATAATAAATAAATGTATGAATATAAGGAATTATCATTTGAATGTGACAAGGTGGAATTAACTGCTGAAATTTAAAAAAGGTAATTTTAACTAAGATAGATAGATAGATAGATAGATAGATTTTGAATGATGGATGGATGGATACAAAAATACAACAAATAAACTTGGAATTACACAATATAAATTAAATGACATTTTTCAGATACAATAAGTTTAACATAGTATGAAATACTACAGAAATGTAATAATCAAAAGTAAAAATAAAACACTACATAGTCTTCACTGTAAGACTGGGTGGCAGAGACGTGTCCCCACAACTGCTGCTGGTAATTAAAGGGCATTGCGTTAAGTTAAAAATGACAGACATTAGTCATGATGCTGCACTGATGCTGTCAATAGACACAAATGAGATCAGCCAGCCAGGGACAGAGGAGGTCAATGCTCTGTGTGAAGGAGGTGTATGCGCTCAATGCAACTCACGATCAACGTGCTTCAAGCCACATTCACTGTCCTCGGGCTATTACGGCGTGTGCGTTGGCTGGCTGTAGTCCAAGAAAAAGGTGCATTCGTATCAAATGAAGCTCAGTTGCGTGCGTGAGTGAGAGTATTGTTCTGAGCGTTTCTGGTAGGCGGAATGCTTGTCTCGTAGCATTAGCTTGGGCTCGGTAATGGACATGATGCAGCCTTGTGTTTTGTTAAATGCCGATCGTGAATACAGTTGCGAGGTGAAAAGAGAACATGAGTTAAATTGAAGGCTTTGTTTTATTTCGTCTCTACAGGAGAGAGGCCGCTGAATCTGAGGGTGACCAGCCAGAGGACGAGAGCATCAGACGGAGACACGCCTCTCGGAAAGCAGCTGGCCAATGAGTTGAAGAGGCATCATCACGCTAATGCCGAGAGCAAGACGTCAGCAGCCACAGGTGTGTGTTGAAAGGGATATGAATATATGTCATACACACAAAGACTAAACCTACTGAGCTGCCTACATAGGCAACATTTAAGGCATCATAAGCACCCTAAGGCACATACACCTAAGAAAGTCAGCATGTGTCCTTGACAAAGGAAGCATCCCATAATGCATTACAATGAGCTTAGTGAAAAATATCCTTCCTAGATAGTGAATAAAATAAGAAAAAAGTCCATATATGTATATTTATTATTCATTAAAAACTGAAAAATATAAAGTAGTTTCAAAATAATAAAAGTTGACTTTTTAAGAAATGCCTATTATCCACGCAAAACTGAAAAATATATATTTAAAATATTTTTAATAAATTGTCAGTTTTTCGATTTTAGAAACTTATGGGGACATAGCAAAATGACGACGTCTGATCATTAAATTCATAAAGTAATTAAATTATTTAATTTCACCATATGTTCCATCTTCACTTAATTGTGAAATGCTAACTAACATGATTTCATCTTTAACATTGTGAGGTATTTTAAACCATTATATTTAGAAATAAATTATCGAGCATGACAGGAATGATCCATATAATATTTGTAATTGCCAACATTTAGCAGATGCTTTTATCCAAAGCAACTTGCAAATGAGGAACCTTGCAAGCAATATATCATACATGACATAAAGGGTATCAGTAAAGTCTCTTAATCTTTTTTTTTTCTTTTTCTCTTTTCCAGAAAACGGAGGCGATGCATCTTCATGTGCCCTCAACCTCTCTGAGAAGAAGACCATCAAATCCGAGCCGGAGGATTCCAGATAGCAGCCCCGAATGCTTTCGTTTCAAACCTACAATACACGTCGTCTGTCAGTGAATACTAAACAAGCACAACTACAGTAGAGCCTTAACAACCAATGTTGCCTCAAAATAGAGTTTATTTTAGTTTCTCGCCATTTTTGTTTTTTGCCAAAGCACCTAGAGCCCTTATTTCCATTCTCCTGAGTAGATTCACACTGTTTGTGCTGTCACTGACTGTACTCGTTTAATTCTCACTAGCTCTCATCACTTGTTTTTATGCTCTGCTTTCGGTGTGGACCAAAAGTCCGCTATTTGTACATACATAGAAAATGTCTGTTTGAAAACAGTTAAATGTTATTTAAATACAGTATGTGTTGTATGTATATATATATATATGAATGCATGTAAAATATCACTGAAACGGAGGGATGCAGTGTTTTTAAAGTTGTTAGTAAGCAGCTGTTGTTAAGTGAGCCTCCTGGATTGCGTTTCTCTTTAAAGACCCCATGCAATCACTTTCATTTCCCGTATTGACTATTTCCTATTATCAAATGACATTTGCCCCTTTTTTTTTAAAGAGACAGTAGGCTCTTTATTTACACCATAAACAGTGATTTGCCACTTGCTATTGCTATTTGATAGCTGGTGGTATTGTTAGCAGGAGCAATATTATCATTCTAGAGAGCATTTCATTCAACAAAAATATTAGGGCTGCACAATGTATCAAAATATTATTGATATTGCGGCAAGGCTAAATGCATCAAATCAACAAGAGCAAAGCTTGGCACTGTTCATTTGCACAATTAAATGTAAATTTAGGCAAAAATGAAGAAATTAAGTCGTAAATATTAGTATTGTAATTCTACAGTATTTTTAAGGTATTTTTTATTTTATTAAATACTCTCTTTATTTTATAGTACATTAGTATTATCGCAACATTTCTTATTTTAAGTATAGTTATATTAAATGAGTCAAAAACAGTGTTTTTTTCAAACTCTGCTCACTTTATGATTACTGAAATATGTTTCAGTTTGTTCTTGTAAAGTCTACCCAAGTTTTTCACAAGTTGTTTAACAGAAGAAAAAAATATATATCGCAATGTCAGTTTTTTTCCCAATATCATGCAGCTGTAATAAATATTTTTTGATTGTTTATCCCAGAAGAGAAAGAAATTAGTTTTTTAAATCCGTGAAAGTGAATTTTGCCACTAGTACACTAGCATATAGATGACACATAGGGACTAAAAACTCTAATTTTGATCTCATGGGGTCTTTAAGGAAGTCGTTTTCTCCTGTCAGGGTTTCTGATAGCAATGCTAACGAATCTGAATTTAAAAGTCTCTACTATGGTGCTATGGCTGAATTTACTTGCGTAACAGAGGAAAACTGAGGTCCACGTTGCTATTTAAACACTGACATCTCGGAGCCAGATGTTTGGCCTCCTTGTCATCTTGAACGAATAGTAATGCCTGATTTATTCCGATACTAAGCACAATTAATATATTTAATCGTACTCTATACATACCAACAAAATGCTAATATAGACAAGCATGTCTCCCCTCCTGACCAATAGTCATGTAAATAGTTTAAAGACATTTGCAACTGACTGGACTTGAAAACAGGGCGTCATTACTGCTCCATTCCAGTCTTTATCATAATCACGTAACGTATTTGTATTTCTGAATATTTAGTCGTAGAGCAATACCGGGTAGCTGTTGTCACTTAACTCAGTGAACGTGTCTAGGTGTCCCAGCCTCAGAGGACATTCACTGTATTCACAGTATTTCTACTCTGTTTCGTAGTGTAGACATAGTCTTAGATTCAGCTAACGTGCAAATGTATGTGAAACTGATATGCACTAGTGTTTGATTCTCGAATTTGCATCCTACTGCTCAACATTTCTCGTGTTTCTCAATGGTGATATATGTTTTTGTAGGACTTGTACCCGTGAAATCATCGAGTCACACTCTTTATGTAGTTTTAGAGTATCATGTGAGGTGAAGTAGGCACAAGATAATCAGGTTTTCCACAGTTACATGTCTGTAATGTACCGGTCAAGCTGTTATATAATCTGTATTTGTGTCAAAGACAAATACCTCTCTATATCGGTACGAAGAGACCGATTTTTAACGTCCTGATCATACACTTCAGTATTTCGAGGGAATATGTGGAAATATTGTGTGCTTTATTTTTTATCTTTATCTCGAGTATGCAAAATCTTAATTTAAGTGCCATTTTAAACGTATATTTTTGAGAGCGTGCGATAAGTCGGTGGGTTACGAGATGTCCCGCGTGATAAAGACGAGCGTTATGTGAATATTTATCTGCATTTTCAACTTTTTGCCTTAGTTTAAAGCATTCCACGTTACGATTCTTCACTGGTGATAGTTTATTCTGGATGTTCGTTTTAGGTGGAATGGGAAATGAGATTTGGGAAGTTGTATGAACATCTGAGACTTAAAGCCTTGGCAATATCAAGCTCTCTAAGAGCATTGGAACAAAATTTACTTTAGAAAAAACAGTTTGATGAAGAAAAAAATCTGATTGGACCTTACTGATTACATAGTTACCAATGACCTATATAGCAAGACATATCTAGACGCCTACCTTTGTTCCTTGCTTGTTACTGTCTTTAACCACTCACAGAAATGATCAGTCTTTCTCTAATCTTTGTACTTTCTTTGTGTAATAGACTTATGCATCTTGGACTGTGGGATGAAACTGTGTTGTCAGTAGAACTTGTTCTCATCACTTTTGAGTAGAGAGTACATTAGGATATGCATACGGTAGTCTTGCACATATTGTTTTGTAAACACTAATATATTTAATTTGTTATACAGCACATGAACATTAAACTCTATTTTTTTGACATCTGATTGTGAAGTACTTTTCATTTCTCACGCTTTGATTCAGGGCCCAAATTTTATTACTGGACATATAAACACTGAAATTTCAGAGCCAGACTTTTGGCCTCCCTGTTATCTTGAAGAATAGTAATGCCTGATTTATTCTGATAATTAATATATTTCATCATACTCTATACATACAAACAAAATGCTAATATAGACAAGCATGTCTCCCCTCCTGACCAATAGTCATGTAAATAGTTTAAAAACATTCGCAAATGACTGGACTTGAAAACAGGGCGTCATTAGGCCACTGCACTATTTCAGTCTTTATCATTATCACGTAATGTATGCATTTTTAACATATGAAATATATTGTAATATATATTTTTAACATATAAAAGTAAACATAAATATCCTTAAAATCAGAGGTTTTTATTGAATTTCCTTTAATCTACACGACTAGAGAAAACATAAAAGGGCTGTGGCAGGAAACTTCAACACCCACAATGCACTGCCCTCGATCAGACTATATGTGAGCGGGAAATACAAAAATTGCGATTTGTAGTTTTCACAAAAGCCCTGGCCGTTAAAAACGTAAAACGCCTCATCCGGCGGACTTTTGCTGAAGGGAAAATTTCGGTGCTGGTAAAACGGAAAAATAATACACATTGTTTACTTAATTACGTTACCGACATTGTAACAATATAAGGTTGAAAATTAGTGAATTTTCCCGTTTTAATTTTAATTCAGTCGATTATAAATTGATTGAAATTAAGTTTTAATCGATTTACTGTCTTTTGAATCTGTTTGTTTTTATTAATATTTCCTGAAACCCGTGACTCATTGAACAGATGTCAGATATAATGGACAAAGGTTTTTTTTTTTTTTAAAGATTATTTAAAAGTAAATTACCGTATCTAGAAAACCTCAGTTTCAGTCTGATTCAGTAAGTCTCTGACTGACTAGCCTACAGCTGTATGGAGGACGAAACCTGCAAAAACAATAAATAAATAAATAGCCCTCTCATTAGCATGTTACTCAGAGCGAAAAAAATGTGGAACTACATTCAGAAATAAATGAGCGATCAAAGGAAAATAGTTAGGATGAGTTTAACATTTCCTTAAACATTTTCCATTTGCCCACCAATTTATTTTAGTTATTTGCCTACGTTCATCACATGTATAATTATTTATTTATGTATTTAAACAAGAATACGTGTATTTATGCACACATTTATTTATTTATTTGTGTATTTATTGTTTTATGTTTATTAAGCAAATAACGGTTCAGTATTGCAATTAAGAGCTATGTAAGCATTAATATTTTACATTGGCCACTTAAAATCTTTTATGATTTAACTCTCTCATGATTATAACTACAAAACTAACCCTATGAAAAAGTGTAAGATAATAATCAGTCACCTTGACTGATGAAGTTAATACGCATGCGCAGGCGCCCTCTCATTAGCATGTTACTCAGAGCGAAAAAAATGTGGAACTACATTCAGAAATAAATGAGCGATCAAAGGAAAATAGTTAGGATGAGTTTAACATTTCCTTAAACATTTTCCATTTGCCCACCAATTTATTTTAGTTATTTGCCTACGTTCATCACATGTATAATTATTTATTTATGTATTTAAACAAGAATACGTGTATTTATGCACACATTTATTTATTTATGTGTATTTATTTATTTATTGTTTTTGCAGGTTTCGTCCTCCATACAGCTGTAGTGGTCTGAATAATTCTATTATATATATAGCGAGGAATTCCTGGCCTTCTTGATTGTGATTATCTAGGCCTATTTAAAGAAAAAAATGGCGTTTAAGATAGTTACACTACAAGGCCATCTTTATTATGATCATTTTTATCATCATAACTGTTAAGATTTAATGTTAAGAATAATAGTCATCAAACTATGCCACAAATGAAATGGAGGTAGGCTAGGGGGATTATGTAATGATAAAAAAAAAGGTTAAATACATCAAAACCATCTTATATTCTATCTTCTTTTACACTTCCATTCCAACTTCTTGGATGCTTTTGAAAAGTCCTGAATCCGTTCACATAATTGTTATTCTAGTATTTGTAGCCTATACTAGTGTTAGTATTAATATGTTGAATTAGTTTTCAGTTTTGATTTTAGTTTAAGTTTTTGTCTGACGTTAGTAAACACAAATTAAGTGTGTAATTTTGGATGGCGAATAGAGGAAACATTTGCAAAAAAAAAAAAAAGAGCTGAATATATAATATGCTTACTAAAAATAACGGTGTACAAATGAGGAAACTTAATGTACTAAACGTATTTTTTTATGAGTTGTGGTGATGTTCCTTATCTTCTTTCAAGTAGGCCTATCTTGCTTTGACGACATGCGTACAGACAGACGACGGTGAGGGCAGCGTGTGGGTCGATGTGTCTTCACCTCTATTCATTTGCATCTACATCATATTAACACATTTTGAAACTGCAGAATGACTCACAAACACTCACTGTTGTGCTTCCACCCTTTGTTGTGCGTACGCAATGTCTGTGTGCGTGTATAAACCCAGTGCTTATAAGCACCCCACTGCCGCCCACAGTCAGCCCGGAATGATGCTTCTCTGCACGGATGTCACAGACCGGTCGCGGCGCCTCGCCTGATAAAGCGTCATTCAGGTCATTGTGGTTTTATTGTGACCCATTCAAGGAAAAAAATTACATTTTGCCTTCATCTATCAAACTTATTAAACAGTCCTGTAATGCCTGCAACCTAATGAAACAGCAAACAATGTGTCTATACTGCGTCGCCTACAGAGATAAATATGGAGACTGAAATGATCAAAATTCTGGTGAATTATCTAAAAGTTTCAAAGTAAACAGCTGAATTGTTTTCTTGCATGGAGTCCAAGGAGAAAATCACCTTATAGTGCCCCCTAGTGCACATGGGAAATGAAGTGCTCATTGAGAAATAGCGTGATTTGTATAGGATTTGGACTTCATTTATTTGGACTTTAAAATGCAATAAGAAATATCAATTGCATATGCGTACTATTTTGTGAAACCATTTTTTTTTTCAGGATTCTTTTCTCAAACTAACAGCATTTATTTTAAATCTTTTGTAACATTATAAATGTTTTGACTGTCGTTTTTGATCAATTTAATGCATTTTGTTGAATAAAAGCGTTCATTTTTATTAACCCCCTAATAAAAGTTTCTTGAGCAGCAAATCAGCATATTAGGCAAGGCAAGGCAAGTTTATTTATATAGCACATTTCATTTCTTGGCAAGGCCGGTGAGGAGACCATTACAATAGTCCATTGTAATGGTATATTGTATAAAGGCATGAATAAGTTTCCCCAAGTCTTGACTGGAAACAAAACATCTAATTCTTGCAATGTTTTTGAGATGATAGTATGCTGATTTAGTTACTGCTTTGACATGACTACTGAAACTAAGGTCTTAGAATGATTTCTGAAGGATCACGTGACAGTAGTGATGCTGAAAATTCAGCTTTGCATCACAGGAATAAATTACATTTTAAAATATATTCAAATAGGAAACAGATATTTTAACTTGTAATATTTCACAATATTAGTGTTTTACTGTAGTTTTGAACACATATGCAGCCTTGGTGAGCAGAAGAGACTTCATTTCAATATTTAAAAATCAGAATGTTTTCAAACTTTTGATAACCCTTACGAAAAAGATGTTTATTCAAGTGTGCTATTAGTATACTTCTTTTAAACTAAAAATAGGTAAGTATACTTTTAGTCTACTTTTTATGTACTTCTCAGAAATATACTTAAAATGACATTTAAGTATACTTGACTTATACTTAGAAAAAGTCTAAATATATTTGAGCTATACTTGTGTTCCTAGAAACCGTGTTTTCATTGTTATACTGTAGGGGGCGCTAGTACACAT